ACCCTATACTGTTAGCTGTCAAATTGCTTTTTTTCAGGGTTGCCAACACTTCACTGCACAAATGGCGGCAAATTCAAATCTTGCGTTAATTTTGGGACACCCTTTATATGACATTCTATACTTAAACTCTAGGAGATAAGTTGAGCCCTTTGCCTTTTTTAAGCACTTTTCCCTATCAACAGATGTAGATGGTCCAGGTGATGATAGAGACTTGGGTAAATTTTCCATAGTAATGGCATCACCTTGTAGAGCCCGGTAACTTTTAGGGGTGTAACCCAAAAAGGTGTTTTAAATTGACCTCATAGGCACTTTCACAAAAATGCTTCGAGCAAAACCTAGCGCTTTTTACATTGACTCTGCCTTTTCTTTTTGTAAGATGTAAGGTTTGGGTCTTGAGGAAATCTGTAGAACTTCATGTCTTTGCAAGGATTCCGTTGAGACTGGTTGTCGGATTTACATCCCGCAACAGCACACCGCATTTTTTACAATTTATCAACCACACAGGCTAAATAAAGTATGTATAACTAATAGAACAGGTCACAAAACCACCAACAAATCGCACTATATAGTATTAACCACGATACACGTGAACTGCAGTAACGTTACGACAATCCTGCCGCTGGTAATCACGAGCCGACAACTCTCCGGGTGATGTCACGAAGCTCCGCCCACATCTTCAGTGTATGTGTATCGTGGTTTGCTATATCTAATATTATGTATTGATATTTTTTTGTTGAAAAACTGGTTACTAATTTAAGGCAGTTCAAAAATCAGATTAACAATTTCCTTCAGCTTCAAATAGCAGCGGTGGTGCCCTGGTACTTAGGCCTCTGTCTGTGTGGCTATTTTGGTATAAAAAAATATGGTTTGATATCTTGGTCTTGATACCAGTTTTATCATAAACCATCTTGAAACACTCTGCTATCATTGATAATAATTTTGGAAATCAGGAAAAAATGCATGTTAGAATTTTGATATTCCAGTTCTGCAATTTATCAGTCGACCAACTCGTCTAGATTGTTGTGAAAATTGATTTTGTTATTATATATCATGTAGATGCGGCTATTGTGGGGGGGGGGGAGGAAATCATTCTCAATAACAGATTTTCAATTGTTTTATTTGATTAAATATGTTCCAAGTGGAAACTCTTGGAGCAACACTAAGAAACATAAGTAGAATACTTAAATATTACAGTCAGTGAAACAAAACAATCGTTGGAATATAATTTTTATGCAAATCACACATACAGTAACTAGAAATTCATTTGAACTACAATTTGCATATTTCATAATAATACCTAATAACTCATTCCATTTCCGGCGCCCTGTGATTGCGAATATACATCATACATAGAATACTTGCAAAGTAAACGTAAAAAAATCATAGTAACGAATGTCGCCTCACTTCATTTCTTTTTCTATTTAACAGCCGCTGTAGCATTAGGATTTCCATTTCCTTCTGTCTTTACCATTTTGCCGGTATCACCTGCAAAAATTGAAACATTTTAACAGGAGTGAAAGCAGACGCGATGTTTTTTGTTCTTATGTTTTAAAAGATTCCACACTATATACAAAAATTATAACAAAACAATCAGAGATATTTTGCAGTGCTTGAAAGCTTTGATATACTTTTATAGTTTAAGAGTCATCTGTATTAGAAGTGAATGTTACGAGTTGCAGCTCTAATGTCTGTTGAAACGATGCATAACGATTGTTAGTCTTAATACACGATTATTAAAGAACTCATAACGCAGAAAAATCAGGTATCATAATTGCCAAAATAGTTGCAGTTGTCAGGGACTTATCATCATTTGAGTAACTAGCAGATAAATAAAATAACATCTTTGAAAGCAGTAGCTATTAGTAGAAAAAAGCTCGCCACCTTTAGAAACATGCGAGTGATCAGTCATTATCAGAAAACTTACTTTCTGATCCTTCCTGTTCTCCTCCAGAACGACGCCTCTTGCGCGCAGATCTGTCACGACGGAAAGATTTTTGGGGCGTAGGAAGAGGATCCATACCAAGAACCTAAAAACAACAAAAATCAATCATCATTATTTCAAATTCAGCCTTATTAAAGTAATAAATGATGGTAAAGTCACTACATTTTTCCTGAAATAATTTCTATACTTTATATTTCTCCTTCAAACAGTTTCATTTCAAATTATGGAACTCGTGGATTTTTCTGTACACATACCTTGTAGATTTGCCTGTAGGCGATCAACCTTAACGCGTATTGGGCAGAGCAGGTGAGATCCTCACGTTGTTGGGGCGACAGCGCTCCAGCGGCGTCCGGGTTGTCCTTCTCGCAGGGATCGCCCAATCCAGGTCCTCCAGGCAGTAGCAAGCCGCTGGCGACGGCCTCCATCACTCGTCGTAGTGCATCTCCAGGTGACAGCTGAACCTGGCCGGGCACTGACGATATTACCTTCTCGGCTAGCAGCTCCATGGCCTAAGTCATTGTGTTGAATGTATCAATTTAAGATTTTTCTAGACATCTAAATAATTTAAGAAGCCTGTATTCATATCCTAATGAAATCGCGACAAGTAGATTGACTCTATACTTCCTACGTTTTCGTTGGAGCTTTCAAAGAAAAGCGATGAGTCATCGTTTCAAAAAGCAAAATGATTAAGGTAGGTTCACTTAAATCTTTGACCTTTGCATATCAAACTATATAAGGCAAATCTATCATATTTTTGTTTCCATGCAGGTGCATAGTATCAGTGAGATCAACAGCTTCCTAATAATTTTAATTTACAATTTTCATCCCTTCCAATGTCTGAAAATGAGCAGGAATTTCTGAAACGTTGTAAGATTATGTTCCAGCGATTTTCTTTCTGCCGCCTCCGAGTTAATTTTCAAAATCTGCGACTATCTAAACGATGGAAGTATTAAATTCGCGATAATCTAACTTCGGTTCACAAGTTTTCTGTTGCTTAAAGATATCTGCATCACGCAAGTACGTGTTTCTCATTTATGTCGGTACTTGAAATATTCAGAGAACCATCATAGATGGAGTAACATAAATTAAATGTTAGTCGAAAAGAGTGGAACATTTAAGGATCATAAAATTCAGAAAAATATGTATTTGTACTCCTAATATCCAAATGTTGCTGAAATATAATTATAATTTCTCATGTAGCGGGGCAGCAGTGACACCACTGCATAACATAATATCTCATTTTTGAAATTTTTCGCGTCTACAATATTTCCTTGCCAGTGGCGTAGGAATTAAAAAAAAAAAGAAATAGAAAAATATATTTTAATATTTTTGTTACATGTATAATATGTGACACAAGTGAGCTTTTGTTCAACTTCATCTCATTCCCAGTTAACTTCGAAGCATAATTTTGAGGACGTTTTTTTATTAGCCGAAATTTATAGGAATCCTGAGGTCACATTAAATTTTTTCCAACCTCCTAAAAATATGCTATGAGGCACGCAAAAAGATCACCGTTCAGTTTTTAGACGAAGTTTGATTTTTTTACACTTCACTATCAAAACTGAAAGCAGGCCAATATTTACGGTATACATACCCATGGACTTAATGGTGACCATGTTGGAACTCGTTGACACAGATCTCTCAAAATGCGGATAATTACCACACATGAATGAAGACCCAAAGCCCTAGCCTGAAAACACATGTCACTATAAAAATTATTCACAAGCCAAATTTGCAAAAAGAGTTCCACATTACATATTTTTGTCAAGTCCTTTTACTAGCAATGTACCAATTAGGACTGTGATATCGACACAAAATTCATTTTTTGCAGATAGTAACTAAGTTGAATGTAGAACTCTTTGATTTATAGATTCAAGATGTGACATTTTTTTAAATAACAAAACATAAATTACACTAAATATAACAGGGAATAGAAGTAATTTTTATTCTTAATCTTATCTGACAGTATGTTAATGGAACAAACAGGTGAAGTTTTGAAGGTCTTCGATTCCCTACAAATTTCAAAGTTTATAAAAACTCACATCTTTTTTTTGTATAAATAATATTGACAAATGATACAAGAACATTTCAGGAGGAAGGTGCAAGTAACACGATCACAATTAACTTCAAATGCAATTTTATAAAAAAATGTGCAAAACCACGGAACCTTCTGCCGTGCAAATGCCTGTATAATATGTCAAAAAGGTGAGCACATGAGTTTGATTCTCTTCTTCCGCATATATTTTGTTCACGATTGTCTTTTTTTTGTCACGTTAGTTACAGCGCTTAGAAACAAAAAGCGCGCACAAAAAGAATCGTCTAAGGAAAATCATGAAACGGTGTGAGAGGAGACACAAACCTGGAACCATTTGGTATGTCTGAGGGCTGCCAGCGCCTGGAGACACTTGCCGCGTGAGAGCACATCCCGGTCGAACCCACCGCTCGCAGCTTCTAGACATCAAAAAAAGGGTGTTTGACCATCGCGCCCGTCACTACCAACGATTGCACATTCAACCGGTCCATAGAGGATACAGAAGTGCTTTCCAATTTACCATTTACACAATTTCCGATTATATCGCTGCAATCATTTATCGAATACACACACAGGAAGTCCCAGTAATCGAAGTCAAGCCGGAAACGGTGGAAAGACTACGTCATTATAGTTATCAGAATAATGTAAAAAAATCTAAGTCGTGTACTTCTCAAATTATATGCTTAAAGATGATCTTTTAGTCTAGTCGGTCGAAGATGACCCGAGTACTTCACCACGTCAAATAGAAGCAAGTATCAGCTCTACCAGTACCACGTTCAGCGAGTACAATATCTACAAGTTATCTTAGTTTTGTCAATGTTACAGAGACAACGGGGAGATCTGCAATTTTTAGAGAAAATTTTATGGACAAAACATTGAAATTTGTAGTAATGGGAAGTAAAAGATTATCACAGGATGTAAGATTCTTACGATTTGTTTTTAAAGCCTACAATTTGAAAAGTACACGACTTAGATTTTTTTATATTTTGCTGATAACTATTATGACTTGGTCTATCCCCGGTTTCTGGCTTGACGTCGACAGCTGCGACACTCACTATATGTACGTAAACTTGTTTCGAGAGCATTATGATTACATTCTTTCAAAATTAGTGGGTCATAAATTAGACCGATGCGATGTTAAAACCGGTTGTAATTTTGTTTTTGGAAAACACCTTTGTAGTTAAATCCTCACTAAAGTCTATTTATCCAAGAAAGACATTAAACCAAGCAACCAGCGCATTTAATGTAAATTGGTAGAATCGGTCGAGGAAGGTGGAGATGGAGACAACACGGCGGTACATGCAGCCTCGGCGGCTCCGTAACGTGCTCGGCTTCTAGAGTCCGATCACGCGAAGTATGCGTGAACATGGTTGGGTTTAGTTTCTTTCTTGGATGAATGGACTATATAGATGGTTGCATTATATGTTCTTATGGCAATAGCGGGCCGGCTGGTCAAAAATCCTTAATCCCACACCACTCATCTTCCGCCTCTAAAAGGCGTATGCGACCGAATTTCAAACTCTTTCATGTCTTAGATACAGCTATATCAGACTGCCATAAATTATACATTTTTACATACAAGATTACACGAGCCTAAAATATTTTATTCTTCACATAACTCGGTATGCAGGTGACAAAGTCGGCGTTGCGAAGTAGAGCCAGTAGAGGCGCAAAACGGCACACGGTATCCGATTTCGCTGCAGATGTAAAAAGTGTGAGTTCTGGAGTGTATATACAATTTTTCACGATACTAAAAATAACACCTGATTATCTAGTGACAATCAAAACGCCCCATATGGACAAGTGACACACAATTCTAATAGATAATATATTTCAACGTTAGATCTGTATTTTGCACGCCCTGTATTTATACCTTCTCACATCAAAAAATGACCAGGGAAAAAAATGAGTAACCGAAAAATTAACGAGTAAAAATAAGAAAAATAGGTTTGTGGACACCCGAAATGATGACAAAGGTAATGGTCGATAGGTATGTAGCCCTAAGTGGTTGACGACGCTTCGGTACATATCCGAATTTCGCGAAAGAACGCTTTTCAATTAAGTTGCGCGTGCTTTGCTGGAATATGCCATAGATGGATGCAAATTTATTGCAATCAGATTTTATCATATATGTAGAATTTGTGTCCCAACATCGCCTACTTTAATTTTCAATAAGCTTGATCGTTAAGGCAAGCCATGATATAGCTCAACCTACGGCGATGAAAGAGTAAGAAACTCGGCCCGACGTTAACATCCACAGAGCACAGTACGCCCCATAAGTATTGGACTGCCTCATTTCAATCTTCTTGTATCAGTCGCTCAGCGACTGATACAGATCTTGCTAAAACTGTGTGTGTGTGTGTGCAAACTAGAAGAAAAGTCCAATATTTATCAGAGATCCTCAAGGTTTAAGCTGTATATACCGTCAGTGAAAATTATGCAACTTTGCCGAAGCCATGTTCCTAGAAAAATACGTCAATGAAAAATATGGTTATGAAAATAGTTTTTTAATAGCTCTAGATGTATGGATCGATTTCAATAATTTAATATTGGAAAATGGATTAAATATGAATTACTATAGTGTTGGTACAAGTTTAAATAAATAAAATGATATTTATTCCATGCTCTACAACATTAACATCTATCATCTGTAACTGTTAAAAGTCGTTTAAAACTACACCTGAAACTTATTCTATGGTTTCCATGCTGATAGAATTCAATGGTTGTTTGGCCGCTAATTGAAACCACATATGTTTGAATTCCTTTTTATTACTAATGTTTAGATATTCAAAGGTATGCAGTTTCATTTAGCAGCCGGACAATCATGGAATCCTATATGCATTCAAAACTTATTAAATTATCAATTACATATTAGATTTAATCCATTTTCCAATAGCAATAGTGTGAGAACAAACCAGCATGTTCTATAAATTTCTCGCAAATCTATTTACAATATAGACATATTCGGGTGGATATTTTGGAGTAGAATAAATATAATTACAGTTCATCTAACTGAAACTATTTTTAGTACACTTGGAAAATAACGACATAGATAAAAAATTAGATGAAAGGAAACTTCAGTATTTTTCTTGTCCAATTCAAAGTGTGTTAAAAATATGACGTCACATGATTGTTCAACAAAATAATTCTGAAGTAAACAGAAACAGGATGTTGTAAAAATGTGTTCTGGTCCTCAGCTTCAATTATCGAAGTTGTTATGTAAATGGGTTAGAGTATTATCATGTACTAATTTTTCGTAAAAAATACACCGAGAATATTAAATACTAGATGGTAAGTTAAAGTAGTTGCCAATTCGATTCAGTTGAACAGGAATATCAAACTCTTGATAAGTTACAAAAAAAGCGTTAAATTTATATTATATTTATTATTGGCCGTTTTTAATTCCCCAAACCAGTTGACCTCTGAAAATGCGTTGTATTCAATATCTCCGTTGAGTTCATTTTTTCCAGTGGTTTTCTATTTCATTTCTTTCTTCTCTGAACAGATTTTCTGTAACCACTTCGAAATACCCGTCTACGGCTGTAACGACTTCACATAAACTACCAAAAGCTTAGGATAAATGAAAGTCAAAAGGTGGTGAAAATGGTGGGCGAGTAGGCGTATTGTCCTGACGGAAGATCATTTTGTTCTGTAAACCCGATGAATTAAACATGTATCATCTTGCTGCTACTGCAGGGGCTTGAATTGATTTATAACATCAGTTCATAAAAATCAAAGTGTCAAGATAGGAAGAGAAAAAATTGTAACACATGATGCTAAAATGTATGCATCGCATAGAAAATATGAAGTTTTGATTAATTTAAGGAACGTTGAAAAATAATATACCATTGGATTCAATTAAAAAGAGGCGTAGCAAGTCCATAAAAAAATTACATGTATACAGGCAAAAATCGGAGGCGAAAAGCAGTAAAACGTCCAACTTGAGGTTAGAGAATAACAACCACACCACTGGGAATCGAAAATGAAACAAACATAACCTGTATGAAATGAAACATGTTCTTCTGCCTTGTGGGGTTAATTTTATGTATGTGCAGTGCCTCACCAGAATTAATTTCAAAAAAGAAAAAAATCACTGCGGATAAAAATAAAGAAAATTCGAATTACAAGTTGCTCCGTCAACACGAAAACTCACAATGACAGATTCGAACAATGGTCATGCAACAACGGTGGTTCATAGGGAGTGTCTAGTAGTCCGGTAAAGCAATATGTTTTCTGATACCAACGCCTCCTGTATGAGAAACTTTTCAAAACACCTAGTATAAAGATAAGAATTTGATATTCCTCGCGAAAATAAACTTGACAAATACTCTAAATACAAACAAAACAAACAACAACAAAAAACTCCTAAAAAATCAACAACCAAACTGAAAATCCAGCTTAAACCCTGCACGGTACTGTACGAGTTACCGCTCGCGGTCGCCGTAGCGACATCCGTCCCCCAACACCAACAGCGCATGCTATGGTTACCTGCTTGGTCGCGCATCACAGGGCTGGTGAACTGCACCAGGACAGTCAAGCCGTCGCTGATGACCACCAGACCGGCCTCCGGGGCGTTGATGTGCACCTGGTAGGTGTTATCGGGCGCCACTTGCTTCAGAGCGCCGGGCAGCATTTCCACGACCTTCTTCAGGAGCGTGAGGGTCGGTTTATCGGCGCAGAGCACGACGAGTTCGACGTGCGTGTCGCCGCGCAGGAGGAGGCCTTTGGCAAGGTGGCCCACGCGCATCACGCCCTTCAGGATGCGGTTTGCGTCCTTCTCTTGCTGGAAGGAGAATCTAGAACGGAAAACGCGACGTCAATAAACCAATCAGGTCCATTTTTTCTGAGTGTCGAGGTAGACAAAGTTGTCAGGTTGCTGGGTGGTTAGTACTGCGCGATGATGTCAAATCTGTGGGAACTATGGACTAATTGTATGGCCCTGTTTGATTGACATGATCCATTGAATCTTTTGTTATTCATGTGCCTAGCAAAATTTTTTATAAGATAATCTTTTTGTAGAGTTATTGTATTTAATTGTAATAAAAAATACGTTTCCATACTTTTGTCGTCTCATTTTCGGTCATAAAATAATATGAAGGTATTTTAATGCTAGTCTGTAGTACTACAAACACAAAGTGTCATTTGTATCAAGACTGTAAGCAAACTATATGAGAAAACAAAATAGTCCTTACTAATAAAGAATAAAAAATTAGCATACTTTTTAAAAGTTACTAAGAATATTTCCAAACTTTTGTCCGCTACTGTATATATTAGAAATAGCAAGGTGAAGTACTGAGCCCTGAGGTACCCTGTCGCAAATAGGCAAAAGGTCAGAGGCGGTGCTTACAAACTGCTTCCTATTTGACAAATACGAACGAAATAGCGCTAGCTCGGTATTTCTCATGCCATAAGATCAATCTAAAAATTAAGATATTAACAAAAAATTCAATTACAGTATTAAATGTTAGAATTATTTTTTATTCGCTATTTACAAAAATTTTAGTTATTAAAATATAACTAATTGCACCCCGCGATCTTTTACTAAAACTGATTTTTTTATTATAATTTCTATATCGATATTTCGAATTAGTCATGCTTGACTTTTAGACATTCTATTGTAGTTACACAGTCTCTCCTAGACGTGAAAGTAAATTGTTTTCTACTTTTTAGTTCGATTTGCTATTAAAGCGTTTTTTAAACTATAATTTATTTTCTGAATTTTTACTTTCAAAACGACAACAAAAGTACTTGTAATCAAGGGCTTCATTTTTCGTATATTCTATATCTGACAACAAATCTAAAATTACTTACAATTTTTTTCCAAATCTTCAAATTATTTCCCAAAATTTCCAGTCCATTTTTTTACAAAATATATTTTTTTTTAATTCGATTTGTCCCCAAGATTATTGTAATTGGTAAAAATTAGGTTGAAAGATTCCGTCACACTGGTCAATCCAATAAAAGCGTGTTAAAAATAGTTAAGAATGTACTACTTACAGTTGGTTATCTCTGCCATCCTCCTTCTGCTGTTCGCTCAGTTGCTTCTCATCAGGTTTGTTCTGCTTAGGGTCTGCCCCCTCTTTAGGCTTCTGCTCGGCCAACTGGTCGCTGACGCTCTTCAATGCGCGCTCAGTGTGCGACACGATCCTTTGAATTGATTGAAGTTCTTCTTCCTTCGGATATATCTCGGAGTGGCGGGCCATCACGTGCCTATCGTCACTGGATTCGGCACGGCGAGGCATACCACCTTGGTAGTATTGCTGAAAAAGAAAAAATGATAATAACATTCACTCTACGTTGGAGTTAAACTTAACAAGAGGCGGTCAGCAAGATCTCACATTAATGCTCGCCTACATAAAGCTAAAGGGGAACTTGCAATGTTGGACCCCATAATTGAATGGAAATGAAATTTCGACGTTGATGTGAAGGTGCGAGTAATTGACGCGTTGTTTGTATTATGGAACTGTGCAACTTCTATCAATTATACGGCTCGAGTTCACTCGAGGTCTGCTTGAAGAAAACCTATGAGGTTACAATAGGGTTGGTCCAAAGGTTAATGGAGTACCTGTTCACGGTAAATAAACGACAGGAAATTAAAAAAAAGACAAGCATTATTGAGTGTGCGATAAAATAATACTTACTCCAGGTCCGCCAGGGTAAGGTCTGCCCCTCTGGAACGGGTTCATGTTTCCATGCATATATTCTTCTTCATATCGGCGTTGATCATCCCAATACATTCCAGATTCATCTCCAGGCATGAAGTGACGTCTTGCCCAGTATTCCTCTCTCAAAGCCTTTAAAAAAATACGTAAAATGTCTGTTCAATTCACGTGTAAACTATATTTTTATTTGGAAACTAATAGCAACAATGTTATGGCCGAAAAACTAGACAAAATGCAGGTTTTGTCACTAATTACACGCAGCTACTTGAAATTCTTCAAATCCGTAGGATCCATATTTCTAAATAGCAACAAAATTTTAGTTTATTGGTGAAGTAGTTTTTGAGAATTTCTAATTGTTTATCCTAAAACACCTGTTTTCCGGGCACCACTATTAGTTTATTGAGCAATATACAGGGTTCGTTCAAAGAGCATTTAATAGCAAAATACACTTGTTTACCTTGCCGATATGAATCAAACCATTCCGAACGATAAATGTTATTTTTATGCGAAAAACAAAGGTTACGTTACGTTTTTTTTACTTCTAAACAAATTCAAACATGTCGTATTTGTGAGTATTGAAGAAATGCGCTACGATACTGAAAAACACGTTACTATACACATTTTAAAACAAAGCGGATGTGTGTATCATCTTTTGCTGCGAATTACTCACAAATACGAAATGGTTGAATTTGTTTAGAAGAAAAAACGTAACCCATCCTTTTCGCATAAAAATAGCATTTATCTTCTGGAATGGTTTGCGATATTGGAAAGGTAAACTAGTGTATTTTGCTATAAAATGACTTCTGAACTAACCTGCTCAATAAACTGGTAGTCATGGCCGGAAAACAGGTGTTTTGGGAGAAACAATTAGATATTCTCAAAAACTACTTGACCAATCTACTCCAATTTTGTTGTGGTTATTTAGAAGTATGAATCCTACGAATTTGAAAAATTTCAAGTATCCGCGAGAAACCATCGTCGCATTACCAATAAGTGCCAAAAGCTGCAGTTTGCCTCGGTTTTCGGCCATAACTTTTTTGCTATTAGTCGGATCTTTTTACGTGTGGTCTCATTTTGTAGGTCCCATATATACCTAAAAATCTTATATGAAGAGTTTTCTTCGTTCCTGCCGACACTTTCGATTGAATCCCAAAAAACACGTTTTCTCATATTTTGCTGTCAAATAAAAAGGTTTCCCACAAAAATTGGTGTATGCATTTGTTTCAAATACCCCCTTGAACAACTTGCAGCAATAAAACCAGACTTTACAATTATTTCGCAAACCAGGGGTGTTTTCGTCTATGATTAGACTGTAAGGACGACTTAGACTTTCTTAAAGCAGACGAAATATTGAAGTTTATTGTGAAAGTTAAATAATGTTCGAGCTGTCAAAATCAATTCTTCTAGTGCCTTTAAGAGAATGGAGTGAAGCATTGGCTCAGTTTATCTACGACAAGCCTAAAATATTGCATAAACAATTTATATGTTTAACAAAAGGAACGACTGTCGCATGCTGAAACGAAAAAGAAAAAAAAAATGCAGCAGTGAGTCACTTACAGCTCTACGCATCTTCTCCTCTTGCATCTTTCTCTGTCTCAATGAAGGCTTAACATCCACAACAAGGTCCGGATTGACCTTCTTCTTGAATTGCAAACGATGCCTCCTACCCTTCATGTGCATCTCCTTGGCATTAGGATCATTGAATCTGCACTCGCACAGTTTGCAGTTGAAACTGATTACCTGTAATAAAAAAATGATGTTTGAAAATGCACAGATATCGCCTGCCTGAAAAAATATCTCAAAACTATCTCCATAGATTTCCAAAACGCAAATAAGAAATCCTTCAAAGTGAACTAAAACCTCATTCATGGCGCTTCAAAACAAACACGACCATTTGCAGGCCTGCTTTCTCGAAAAATGAGTTGAACTGGCGTTTATGAAGGTGGATGGGGCCACTGAACATTATCATTAAATTAATCATAGTTTTGGCAAAAGTTACAAATATTCATTTATCCAAAATAAGCTCTCGACAGTGTTAACAAAGTAAAGCGAAACATCAACGATTTCAGCAGACAAACTACAATTTAATGAAAATTGTTTAGAACTATGAAACAGTCACCCAATTCGATATTATAAACCTACCTCGAGATCTGCGAGATATAGCGAGCTATATCAAATTTAAAAATAAGGTTTTCAAGTATTTAAGGGAGACATGTTTTTACTCTATAAATGAATTTTTCTGAAGCCATACCTTTCCGTCATCGCTTTTTATTTCTTCAATGTAATCTTGACCAACAGGCTGTATGTCCGGCTCGGGAGTTTCATCTTCCTCCTGCTTAATATCGGCTTCTCCATTGCCAGAGTTGACACCAAGACCGCCAGATTGAACGAAGTTGATTTTGGGTTGTGCAGTGATAGATTTCTTGCTTCCTCCAATAACTTCAGGTTCTTGAGGTGGTATTGGCTTGCCGAGCTTCGTATGTAAAAGGAGCACTTTCTGATGCTTGGCGCCGCGGATGTGCGCAGCGTAAGCATCGTTTCCTTCAAGATAAAACATAATGTAGAAGATTGAAGAAACACCGGTATCTACTGCGGTTAGAAAATTCTGCAACCCCATACTCCCTTAGAATCTGTTCACCAATGAGCTACTTCCCAGGGACCCTCACGACTTACTCTGAAGTGACGCATTATACTGCATATACATATAGAGTGTTGTACACTTTAACTACTCATGATTGACGTGCCCTATGCCCCGCCCCTTTATGCACTAGCTTTTTGTTTGGTGATAAGCTTGAAAGTTTGGAGTGTGAATCAACCATTGTTAAATTGCAAATAAAAACACGTTTTTTTTTTAAATACCACAGTTTTTGTAACGATAAAAGTATGGCATTTCAGTTTTGTTGTATTTATTCGTTCTGCGATACTCTGATATTGCGTCCGGTAAATATTAACATCAGTGAGAATGGCAAAAGTAAAAGAATGTTCAAAAGATTTAAGAGACAAAGTAATTGAATTATTTAGAAGTGGTGTCAGAAATGTTGACATTTCTCAAAGATTAAAAATGAACAAAGGGAAAATGGATCAAAAATTTTACAAAGATACTCTTAGTGAACACATGCTCCATTTTGCTGAAGAAGAAATGCCTTTATGATGGACATTCCAGCAAGATAATGACCCCAAGCATACCTCAAAATTCGTAAAGGTCTGGTTAAGACTAAAACATGTTAATGTTCTTACATAGCCTTCGCAATCCCCGGGCCTAAACCCTATAGAACATGTTAAAAGACAAGTGACAAGAAAAACATTTAAAAATAGGAACGATTTATTCGATTATGTGAAAAATATTTGGCAAAAAATCCCAACAGATGTCTGTAAAAAAATTGGTGTCTTCTAAATAAATGTTGTTACCTGTGCAAGTTACATCACATAATTGACATCTTAGCGAGTTTCCTGCACGATTTTGGCTTGTGACAGCTACAGATGCCGCCATCTTGGTAGCAGCTTCACGTTTCTTGTGCTTCTGCCCTTCCAAATGCTCACGGTATGTTTGTGGACCAGCGCAGCTAAATGGAAAAAAAATTTACAGTGTGCGTAGTTTCGGCTAGGACTAGTTTGGACTTTGACAATTTTTAAACAACTTTGTTAGTACGACAAACTGTATTCTTTATTTTTCTTCCTGTGATTGGGTGCAAACTTGTCGGAATATTATTATTAAAGCAGTCTTCTTACCTGATCTTGCACACGTCACAATAATGCAGCTGTTGCGGCTTCGGCGGCGCCTTCGCTCTTAGATTCTTCGCGCCGATGCCCTTCTTGTACCCCTGCCAACCTCCGCCGCCCCCTTGCACCTTCTGTTGGGCAATCGCAGCGCCGCCTTGGGCAGCCGCGGCCGCTGCCGCCGCCCCCGTTTGCCCCGCCTGCTGCGCCACGTACATGGTTGCTGCGGAATACAGAGCAGCGTCGTATCCTGAGTATGTTGACGAGTTAGCGGCTGCGCATGGGGAACAAATATTTGTCGTCATGTTCATGGACATGGTTTTTGTTGTTCGACAGTGACCAGAGGACGGATATGACATTTAGCGACATCTAGCGGTAGAAACAATTCATTATCCTTCGACTGTTCGGCCGCCGTCGGTGATTGTTAATTCTTGACGTTTCTCCATCACCAGTGGATGGGATCTTCAGGAGCGGAAGGAAGTTAACTTCTGAAGGTGCCATCCGATTGTGTTGGAGAAACGTCAAGAATTAACAACCACCGACGCCGGCCGAACAAGAAGAATGAATCGCTTGGATAATGGCTGTTGCAACCTCACACAATTCATCTAGCGATAGGTTTGAGAATTAGAAAAGGGTCGAGCGCGCCTCTGTATGACAAGTCATTGACACGCTACAGTGATTTATGTTTATAGCTACATGCATGTACGAGGTCTGTAAATTAAGTGATGAGACTGGGAACGTAACGTTCCATCTAACAACACTGGAGGTGGAGGGGAGACAGGGAATCATGTGATCCCCCTTTAGTACAAGTTTGAACTCGCTGGAGTATTTTGGTGGCCTTAGCATTTTTTTGGTAAACGGTTCAGAATCCCAGGTTTTACGATGGTTTAAGGCCTTTTCGGAAAGGGGAGAGTCGATTTAAAAGAAACCACGAAGAACCGATGAAAACATCGACAGAATCCGGTATCTTGTGCGTTAAGATCGTCGGTTGACAGTCAGAATGATCGAAGAGTTAAATTTGACTTACACCACCATTCATCACGTCAAGAACTGCGTGTTGTATGACGATAATGCTTCTTGTCACACAACACTGTCAATAAACGAGTTTTCGGTCAGTCAAACATTCTTGTGGCTCCCCAGACTCCTTATTCGGCCGACTTTAGTCCTTGTGACTTTTTCCTCTTCCAGAAGTTGAAAAATCACCTCAAGGGAACTCATTTTGGGACATTCAAACAGTTGTAACAGACCAGCTGAAGGCTATTCCGGCAACAGAGTTTCTGCACTGCTATGAGTAGTGGAAGAACCTTCTCCAGCTCTGTGTGGTATCAGAAGTTATTCTGAGCGTGACAGTATAAAATTGTAATGTCTTTGAACAAAAAAATTAAAAAGATCAGTCTCATCACTTAATTTACAGATTTCATAGGTTTCTATTCATAATGATTGAAATAGCAAAAAAAGTTGGCCTTACACATGAAAGAGAACTCGGCCATAAGCATAAGATTATAGTAATAGGATTTAATATTGGTGAAGATGGTTCCAGGTGTCCCCTAGCTTCCTTTGGCTCAAATAACCTCTAATGGTTTGTTCGTACAGTGATCGCAGCTACTTGGTGACTGCGCCTGGAATCCGTCTATACAGCGTAGAATGAACGGAATTTGTGTTGGGGGATCTTGGCACGATCACTGACAGGTTGGAGACAGCTGTGCGTACAGGGTTTCAAACACCACTTGTCATATACAGTATTTAATATCAGGCCCTGGCCAAAATTTGCAGTAGTCGATAACTTATCATTAGTACCCCACTAATACGAGTATAAAGCAAAGAGTAGTTAAGAGAGGGTAGTGGGTGGAATGTCTTCGAAATCGGACAACAAAAACACAGCAATGTATGAGCGAACCGCTCCTGTTTTGACGGCTTCAGGCAGTTACACCACAATGTCATACGAAATAAGTAAAAAGTACCGTGGTGAGCGAAATGTCGTTCAATAAAGAGACATTAATAATTGCATATGTGGTATGATTCGGCCAGACAATGGGAGTAACATGAGCTTTTATACTATGTTGTATCATCTGTTTATATAGGATCTCCAAATTGATGGCTGTTTTTTTGACAGTTTCAAATGCACTCACAACAGGTAAAAGCAATAATAAAGCCGTGAAATGCATGCGTTGGGCGATGCATTCATAAACTACTTTAGGATATTTTAATGTTGACCTTCTTTGTAATACAATTACATCGTATACACAAGCAGGTTTTAGCCAAAACTGCTTTTGCTGGTCAACGACTTGTACTAAGACGACTTCAATCTTTTCTCGATCCTTATAATGCCGCTAGATGTCGCAATTAACATATGAAATACTAGTCCATTTCAATAATTTTCAACATTAAATAATAAAGGTAGTAACCCTGTACAGGATAATATTAATTGTATTTTGAACCATTTACAGAGTATTAAATAAAGTATTCCCCAAGCTTTGTTTTATTAAACAAAATCCTTCAAAACATGCATTTTTTTGTCCCCAACAATGAGTTTCTGACAGTCCCAATGTTTTTTTTTACAGTGAACAAGTGGACAGGTCAATTCAGTACACACCCTGATAACATCTTATTCATTAGTGTGGATCTGAGAGAAACTCAGAGTTGTAAGTGAGTTTCTGAGGAATGTACCCGTTCTTTGCCAGACTTTTCTACAAATGATTGAATCTGAAAGTCTCTGGAACTTGACATGCTGCTGTTATTTCATAACATTAAAAAATGTGGCATTCACAAATTGATCAATTTCCATTCTCCATGAATACAATTATTATCAAATTCATTAATCACAATTTTTTATGTTTAAATGTCGAACAAAATGTTAGATTTTGAAATATGAAATGAAGAATGTTTTTTAAGTATATATTTTTTGATACTTACGTTTAGCTTGAGTAAGTAGGTTGTGTGCTATAGTAGTGTGCACCAGCCGGTTGAGCATATGTGGGCTTGCAACCAGGAGCATTGGCCTGATAAGTGCCTGTATACTGAGCTGGTTTGGTGCGCAGAGTCTGCAAAATAAAATAGCATGTCAAGAACAAGTCTAACATTGAAAAATAAATATAGAATTTTCATTGACTTTTGAACAAAAAAATGTTTGAAGTTGACATGTCAAACCTAACAAAAATCCAAAAGATTGTAAAACATATGAAATTATAAAAAAACATATACAGGGATCGAATTGAGTCTTTATTTAACAGTGATATTGTCAAAGAAATTTTTTTTCTTACATTTTCTGAATTAAGAACAAGTTATGCCTTGAAGTTGAGTAACTCAATAAAAATTATGGTGTTTGGCAACAGATATTCCGACATCCGTTGATCAACAAAAGCGAAGAATTGGAACGATGTTTTACAATAAATCTTTATTCAGTCAGTCATACATACAGTAGTGTGCAAGGTGTGAACAGTGCTGTTGCGTGGCTCAAACGAAATAAAAAAGCACAGTTTATGCGATCGGTTTCACATCGGTGCAACCAACCCCTCTGCTTTTAAGTATAAAACGGGCTCGTGAATCAGGTGACTTAAGACCTCACAGGGACCTCCGATCAAACAGGTCGCACTGAAATAGAGATACTATAAAACAAGTAAACATTTTTTTTTATTTTTACAACATATTCTGTTTTTTCCTTCTACAATCATACTGAAAATTAATGACTCACTCAAGTCGTAGAATAGAAAAATAAAACAATTAAAAAAGTAACAAACGTAATCTTAAAAAAAATGAATAAATAACACAAACAGTATATACAAAAAATGACAGAACACGAATGTTGATAAATGAGGATTACAGAAAATGACTTACAGCTACTTGGGTTTGTTGTTGTCCAGGCCTCTGAGTGTAGGTAGTAGCATAAGTTGCAGGCTTAGCAGCGGCCGCAGCAGCGGCGGCAGCTGCATTTTGATCATAACCTCCAGTGTAACCAGTTGCTGCAGTTTGGCCTGTTCAAGGTAGAAATATGATTCAGGAACGGCGAAAACTGCATACTTGCCAAACACACAATTCATTTGAATACAATTAATTATGGATTTCTAAACATGTTTTGAAAGATAAGAAGGCATAGGAAGAAATGTAGATTTGATGAATCAATCTTCCTACATGTCAGCGTTTTTATGATTACCAAAACTCCATATACTCTTGAAAATGCAAATTACCGATGCCTCATTTGATTTTCATAATAAAGTATCAATTTTCAAACTTTCCTTTATTGAAAACTGAAGAATACTTGCCTTTTTTAATTATTATGCATTGCATTGCAAATGTGTATTTGGTGAGCATGCAACTTAAAAAATAGGTATAGAAGAGATTGTTTAGCTATTAACACACATGTTTGTTGCCTTTTTATATTTAAATTAATCAGACGGCACATTTGCGTATATCACAGACGCCCAAATGGGGTACTACTGATTATATTCATTTGTTACACTGGATGCTCAATTTTAATCGCCAGGTTCATTCATAATCCTATCGAAAACTGCACAGTGGGGGAGAACTAAATCGATTATCACACACGACGCGGAAAAAGGAAACGTAGTCTATAAACCCTATTTTACGAGATTCCATCACATTTTGACGTCTACTAAGGTGAACAGCTGATCAGCTAGTGGACTCTTCTAAATAAAAGAGTTGTTATTGTTAGCTCATACAAAATGTATATGTATGTAGCATATAAAAAACAAAATATGGTTCTGTCTACCTGGCGTTGACGGATCCCCCAGAATTGTCATTTTTTTGTCGACAAGGGAAATTTTGATATATTACTAGATAATCAACTGTTATTCTACCATAATGGATACTCGTGAAAAAGACAACATGTGGTCTCTATGGTGAAATCTGTGCACTTTGGTGTACAATGGCGGCATTTGCAAGACATTTGAGGTTAGGAAAATTGTCAATCGCAAAATTTTGATTTATAACTTTATGAAAATACAAGTTATTCATAAAACCTGTAAGTTGGCACCTAAGGGATTAGCTTTTAGGGGCAGACGCGGAAGATTACTAGATTCAGTTTAGTATCAATATGACTTGTCAGTTTGATAGTCGAGTTTCATATCCAAATTTTACCCTGAAAACCCCGCCACAATTTGTTTGTTTTCCACTGTGTACAAATATTAAGAATATAATTTGGAAGCGCTTTTTGCTCAAGTTTAAGTTGCAATTAACACATATTTGTTGTGTTTTTTTTATTCAAATTGATCAGTAAACCTACATTTTGTGTATCTTTCCATAAAAGATCAAATATGAAAAAATGACCTTGATTCTATATACAGTGCGTCCAGTGGGAAAGTTCACATTTCAAATCTTTATTGCGTACCAACAGTTTACGCGTGGAGTGGGATCTTGATCGAGGTGTTCGGCGTGCGGGTTAAATATTCACAATGGAACGTTGGACCGCAGCTCTACTCTTAGTCAACCCATTTCTGGCCCCACACCTACTGTATCAACCGGATGTTGAATCTTTTTCCTATGCAACGTTGTTTTCAGTAACGAGGCCCATTTTCACTTAGACGGTTATGTGAACAAGCAAAATTGCAGATATTGGGCTACAACGAACCCAAAAGAGAAATATCAACAACAGCTACATAGTTCAAAGGTGACTGTTTGGTGCGCCATATCCTCTAGCGGTATTATTGGGCCGTATTTCTTTGAAGATCCATTGACAGGTACAAGGACATGAGTTGACACTTTTTTTTGTTCCTAAGAAAACAGCACGTCGATTTAATAGAAACACATGGTTTCAACAAGATGGGGCCACTGCCCATACTTCCAGAGAATCGATGGACTTGGTGAAAGCACTTTTTTCTCAAAAAGCTATATTGAAGTATTTTTTGTGGGGTTATCAAAAGTCAAAAATGTATTCTAATAATCCACGAACACTGGACAACATTTGACGAGAAATAAACATCACTCAGGAACTCTGCAATAGAGTGTTTCAGAATTTGCGCGCGCGATTTGAAGAGTGTGTCCGAAGGGATGGCAAACATTTAGACGGAATGATATTTAAGAAATAAAACCCGTCGAATTTACGAATATGTTGATAGTGATAAATATTTTCTTTTCGTTAAGTTTGTATTTTCTTTCTTAAATCAAAAAGTGAACTTTCCCACTGGACACCCTATACTATAATGCTGCACTACGATTAATAATAATATGTCAACAGGCTAGCTAAAAATCTAAATAGTTTCAATGCCCACAATTATCATATGTGAAAATAATTATAATCAGAACTATTTTCAAAATGGTAGTGTAGTCTTACCATGTCAAGTGTGAGCACTGAAATGATATTCTATAGATTCAGTAGAAGCAACATTAAACTGTAGTAGCCATATCAAATAGTATGAAATATGTATTGCTTACCATATTCCATTTTATTAAGGCTACAATTTAAAAAATGTTATAATTATCATGTAATCCATAAAAATTCAGTTGATATATAAAACTAATTTAAAACATTCAAATTAAAACTGTAATATTTCAAAAACTGTAACTTCATCTAGTTGTAGATTGTAACTGCCTGACTTGATTATCCATTAATCATTTTAAGAATTGCAGGTAGAATTTCTTATCACACTGTTTCTGATCTGGTCAACAACTAAGTTCAGAAAAAATATTTATTGACTGCTCGACTAACAACTGGATGAGATAATGCATCCAAAACATAATATTTTTTATTTTTTGATTTTTCCGTCAACATTGTTCTGATCAAGAGTAGTGCATAAAAACTGATAATGGAAAAATATATTTATCATGTAAATAAATTTAAATTTCATAGATCAGTAATTTATCATAATATTACTGGAAAAAGTTTTGATAAACAATCCCAACTCTTTTCAGGTCTCTATAATAAGTACTTCTTATCAGTTTTACAGCAGTTGCTGAGAGATGCTCGTGTTATGTTCTCTAATCCTAGTTCATCATTTGTTGTTTAAAACAATTTTGCTACCAATTTAGTGACGTAGTGGTAAATCACTCATGTAACCATAAGATACCAAATTTTTAACAATGTTCTGATCTGATAAAGTAATGCATAATTATGTATATACTAATATGATTTCTGCAACTCGTATTGAATGTACCCCTTTTTTGTGTCTCTGTACTTCGTAATTCTTCAAGTTCAGGTATAAGGATATCTTTAGATAATAGATACAAATGCATACAGTGATCCTTGAAAATTTGCTAACTCAAAATTTAGTGTGCACTATCTTTCTAAGTAATTTTAAAAACATTAAGGCTAACCAAATTTACACGCATGATGACATGCCTTTCAAATCTAACTAGCAAGGGTCATATAGAAAATATGTTTTGAGTAAACATGCTGTCTGTTTAGTAGTCACACTATATATAAGAATCCAAATAACTTTAAACTCTGCCTTGGCAATATTTTCGCGCATCCCATGTTTAGAAGTATGTGTTGTAGCACATTCCACATTGGAAATGTCATGTCGTAGGCAGTCATCCAAGTAGGGGAACTATGTTCATTCTGGAATCAAAATGTCTTTCAGCTCCCCCTTGACAAAATTTTCGCGCCGCCCATGTTTAAACACTGCGTGCTGCAACGTGGCACGTTCCACATTTTACAGGACTAATTACATACACAGATGACTGCCTGCGAAGTATGACGTTTCCAATGAGGAACATGCTATGTTACAACGCGCGATGTTAAACATGTGCGGCCCGAAAATGTTATCTAGGGGGAGCTTAAAGTCATTTTAATAATATTATAGTTGCACTACTCTGTCATCCTTCTTCGTTCTACTTCTAGTATTGGACCTCTTATGGTACGCATTTTGCATTTAACCTGAATCTATAGAAGCACAACATTGTTTAAGCATATACCTCTTTTATTTCATCTCGTTGGTAAGGCAAAACAGTCATCCTAACAATCTCTAACGTATGTGTGCTTGAACAATGCCATTTATTATCAACAATTACCGTATCCGTAATCGTAAGCCGGCGTTGCACCTGTACCAACAGCCGCATAAGTTCCTTGGGAAGCTGCGGCGGCTGCTTGATACGCCGTGTCGTAGCCCGCAGCAGCCCTTTGGGTGCCGTAGGTTGCCGCTGCGGCGGCAGCGGTAGCCGGTGTCGCTACAGCATAACCGGCTTGTCCTGCTGCTTGGTACGCTGCCCCAGTCGCTGTTGCACTACAAAACAGAAATAATTGGTTATTGAAATCTACCACCCACTATTACTACACGTCTTACACTAATAATGACAAGTAGAGACTGTCCTTACAATTGTTTCAGAATTAGAGTTTTTGGGTGCATTTCCGTGCACAATTTCTCACCTAGAAGTATTATGATAAAATAAACTTTTATCTTGTTTAAAAGTGTACCAAGACTGATTTAATTCCAATAATCTTATCATTATAAAGTTTTGCTATGTTTTTTGTACTTCTTCGAGTTACGCAACTTGTTGGAAGTAAATTTCAGACTTTTTGGTCAGTGAACATTAGAAAATAATAGTGTGAAAATGGCAAATACTTTCCATATACGAGGGATATCTAAGTTTTGCATATGGCAATAAAACAACACGGTAGGTAGTTTTAAATCACTATTGTCTTTCAAAGTATTCTCCACGAAGATTAATACACATCTGCATGCGCTCGAACCAGTTTTCGAAGCACTTATTCCACTCGTTTGCTGGCAGATCCAAAACGGCATTTTTGAATGCGTCAACTGCTTCTTCTGGTGACTGGACCCGTTGACCACGCAGTCTGTTTTTAATTTTCGGGAAAGTAAAGAAATCGTTAGGACTTAGATCGGGACTATATGGAGGATGGTCCAATAATTCCACGTTTTCTTCCTTTTGGGCTGTGTGCGAGCTTGCATCGTCTTGGTGGAGGATGATTCTTCTTTCGGGGTTGATTTTTCGAAGCTCGGTGATGACTTTTGGCAAACAAATGGTGGTATACCAACCCGCAGTAACAGTTCTTTGCTCATTAAGAGGAATTGTTGCAATATGACCCGCTTTTGACACAAATGTCGCGATCATCTTTTTCGAAACACTTCGAGAACCGATGACTTTTGTTGGCTATTCTTCACCTTGGAACACCCAAACAGCCGACTGTCGTTTATTTTCTTGTTCATAACAGTAAATCTACGATTCATCACCACTAACAATGCTGTACACATTTTTTGAGTTTCCGGAATTGAAACGGTCAAGCGTTTTTTGACACCAATTAACCCTGGTTGCTTTCTGCTCTTCAGTCAACAGGTGGGGTATCCAACGAGAAACTAATTTTCTTACTCCTAATTCATGCAAATTTTTTTTGAATTGAGGTCTTTGAGATCTTCAAGGACGCTTCAATCTCGCGATATGTCACATGTTTATCTTCAATGATGAGTTTGCGCACAGCATCGAGGATTTCCTAGGTGACTGCCGTTTTTGGTGCACCCATCCTGGGATCGTCGCTAAGACTCACCCGTCCACGTTTCAATTCTCCTTACCAACGGGAAATTGTCGACTGATGTGGCGCTTCGTTGCCGAAAACAGACAGTAACTCAGCAAGGCATTCTGTTGCGCTAATTGTCTCTGGAAGTTGTAATAAATTATGGCGCGAAAATGTTCTCAGTTGAGTTCAATTTTTTTTAATGACTTGGTGACATTTAAAAATTCACTGTAGTGAGAACACTGCACGTATTGTTGTGAAACTTTGAATTTAAGTGAGGTTAAGATTCAGTACTGATGTTCGTTCGAACTTTATTAATTATTAGTGCCTGACTTTATTCGACGTTCAATAACTCCCTAATAGTACTCTAGAGCATTGGAAAGCTTTACAGAAGCTGTGAACATGTGTAGTTAACTCATGGCAGAATAGGAAACAAAGCAGTGTTGCCAGATGAACACTTTACAACACTACATAAAAAATGGCAGAATATCCAGTATATTGACACTTAAAATCCAATTTAAATTTCCCACCATTGCAATTTTCTTTTCACTGCAGGAGCTAAATAATGTTACAGAATTGTTTTATAAATGATGTGTCTGCTTTTCAGAAATTGTGATATTCTACTGTTTGCTGATGTGAAAATGATCAGAGTACACAAGTCAATACACTCCTTTCTCTTTATGTAATATCAAGTAATCCACGTTATTGCAAAAAACACTACTCAATGAAATATTGAGATGAAACTTGTTAAAATTATATGACATCTGGATGAGTATGAATAATTAAATGTAACAGAGTTGTGTGTAGGCATTCAGCTTAAAATATTATAAAGCCCTAGATATTTAATATACTGATAAGAAATCCCAAGTCAGTCAAAAACATTAATGAAAGACACAGACAGTTTTAGAATTTGGATAATGTTTGCAAATTAACTGAGAACCACTAAAATTATTATTATTTATTTAAATTATATAATATTAATTAATAATAATTATCTTGTGAAACATCCTAGTAGAACTCAGTTTTAAAAATAGGTCAGAATTGAAGTCAATTTCAATGTATAAGTATAAAGGTAATTTTTGACAAAACAAAAATCAGTAGGAGGGCATTAAGTTTTGAAACTAATTATGAAATGGGTGTCAATAATTTAATATCAGAGCTAAAAAGATGGTAGGATAACAACACTACATAGAAAACTTTCTTTCACATCATCATAGGTTTGTCCTACACCATTAATATTATTTGACAATGTAATTACTTGCACTAGATGACTTGCTAACATATTGTGTAGTAAGTATACTCAACAACTTCAACTGTTTCTAAACTTGATGACTATCACTACTTTAGTTGATAGACCCATACTATTAATGTGCTACAATTCCTATTTTAAATCAGCTATAACCTATGGTATAATAGCTTGAGGAGCAGCTATTGATACATTTCAAAACAAATTTGACAAGCTTTCACAGTCTAATTGATAATCACAACTATTATACTATGAATGTGCGAACATTGCACTTCTGCTCACAGGCTCACCAATATGGAAAAAAAATCTACAATAAATTACCTAAGCCATCAAACAATTAAACATGTATTTGTACAATCAAAAAATTAAAAATATGCTTCTTTAAAAGCATATTTCATAAATGAATTGCTCAGAAACACCAGTATTCTTAGATAATTTTTGCTATGTATATGATGTTATCTTGTTATATTTACACATCTCTGATTCCTTTATGAGCTGTTCAGGTTGTTGAACTGCTTTTTTTATTTATTGTTGGTTGCTGTAATATCTGTCATGTTTGCATTTCTATATACAGGGTGTTTCAGTTTATTGTCGTATAACTTTAAGATTCGATAGAACTTTTAAAATTAATGCATAAAGTCTATATAAACATGCGTCGAAAAATGCGTGACTTCCGAAATACAGGGTGTTTAAATTTACTTTCTAAAATAGTTTTTTTTAAATATTTCGAACAATATTTGATGTATAACAGTGAAAATTGGTATGCAAGGGTTTTTTGGTACGACAAAACAAACCATGGGCATAGTTTTACTGTAGCCGCTAGAGGGCGCTCTCTACTGTACCTGTAGTGTATTAAAATGACCGAAAATTTTTTCTTAGTGCAATTTTTTGATTTTTGAATAAAAAAACTGATTCTTCGCACTTTTCAACATCAAAAAGCTCGCTTGTGAATTTTCGCTATAGTTAGCCGTTTTTGAGATATTTCGGTTTTTAAGGTTCGATGCATTTTTAATTATTTATGATAAAATAACGTTAAAAAGTCAGAATCTCGATAATTTTTAGAAGTAGGCTGTGCCTGCAAATATTTTTAAAATTTAAAGCAGAATAAGGTTAAACGTCAATTAGTTGACAGTTAGTTTTGTTGTCTGTTGAAACCTGAAACGTTTTTTTGCAATTGTGAATGCACGAAATTTAGTTTCTTTTACCTGTTTTTTTTTGTAAGTTTTATAAAAATGCCATTTTTATTCTCCAATCAAGAGTTAGCGGATATGCATTTTGTGTATGGCTTTGTAAATGGAAACGTAGCAGAAGCAGCCAGAGAATACGCACCAAGATTTCCAAACAGACGACATCCAACTCGCTCAGTATTTGTAAGAGTACATCGCCAAATAATTGAAAATGGTTTTGGAAATCTCCAAAGGGATCAAAACATAAATGTTCGTCAGCGCAGATTTACCCGTATGATTCTGCGTGAGTTTGATAGAGATCCGACCACAAGTGTTAGGAGAGTTTCTGGTGCCTTGGGAATTTCAGCAAGCCATGTTCACCGTGTTCTTAGAAATGACCATAGACGTCCTTACCATTTGCAACCTGTGCAAGGACTACAGCCAGGGGACGGAGAACGAGGAATCACATTTTGTCAGTGGATTCTTGATAGAACTGATAATAATAGGGAGTTTTTAAGTAACGTTTTATGGACCGATGAGTCATGCTTCACTAGACGTGGAGTGGTAAATTTTCATAAATAACATATTTGGTCGCATGAAAATCTGCATGCAGTTCGGGAAAGAAATTTGCAGCATGAATTTAGTGTGAATGTGTGGATTGGTATCTACCGTAATCGACTATTTGGACCCTACCTTTTGCCTGCAAGGTTAAATGCTGCGACCTTCTTGGAATTTGAACATGCAAATATGTGGGATGATGTTATGTTAGATTTAAAAAGATTGGCCTGGTTCCAGCTTGATGGTTGTCCAGCTCATTATTCGAGAATAGTTAGAAACTGGCTGGACGAAAATTATCCAGAAAGATGGATCGGCCGTGGAGGACCAGTCGCCTGGTCCCCACGATCCCCTGACCTAAATCCATTAGATTTCTTTGTGTGGGGATTTCTAAAAGAAAAAGTGTACCAGACTCCCGTAACCACAAGAGATATGCTAATAGACAGAATCAGGAATGCATGTGATGAAATAAGGCCTTATCTGAATAATGCTATACCACGTTCGATCATTCGTAGATGTGAATTGTGTATTGAACAATTGGGTTTACATTTCGAGCAACTACTTTAGATTTTGTATGTTTGTCCTAACTATCCAATAGCATTTTAGTTGTAAATAATTAATTTAATTTGTTAAAAATAATATTGGAATATTAAACAAATTAATATTCTGTTTTTTGTGTTTATTTGGAGTTAGGAATTATTGCTGTGTTTAAAAACACAATCTAAACGATCATGTTAATTACTTGTAATGCCCAAATCGAAAATTTAAAAAAAAAATATTATTTTC